CCCCCCCCCCCCCCCCCCCCCCCCCCCCCCCCCTTAATCCGGCCCTGTGTGAATGGCATTGGAAGTGGCCACCACTTCATTTAACCTCACGGAGCGGCGTCCCAGTTGCAAGATGTCTCTGTGCAGTGTCGGGTTGAATTCCTTTGATTCCTTTCGACCTTCCTTTTCGGTTGCTGGTTCTCACTTCGTCTCGATGCCAAGGGTCTCCCAGCAAACGCCTCTCCCCCCCCCCCCCTTCTTCATAGCTCGGTGTCCCCCTCTGGCCCGTGGGCCCCGGTGCAGTCGCACCGCCTGCACATTCGGTAGCTACGCCACTGACTGTAAGCCACATGCTCTGTAACGTCGTTTTCAATGAAAACTTAAGGAACAGCTTAGTTGCAATGATCGATCATCCAATATGTAAGTTCAAAACACTTTATTCTTAGCCTATTAGTTTCTAGCATTGCCACTGGTTTTAAGTTTTAAATGGAAAGGGAGAGAAGTAAGAGGGTGGGCTTATATGACCTCGCCCTTAGCCAGAGAGCCGGCGAGTCTGAGGGGCTGGGAGACACTCAGACTCTATGAAACGCCGAGGCCCTAGCGCCTTTTTCAGGGAGGGTACTGCGCCGCCTTAACTCTTGCTGCGCCACGAATAGAGTTGGCACTTAAGTTCAGGGTGGTTCTGGGATGGATTTTCGTACTCGAAAGAGCTGAACATTAAGTAAAACTCCTTCTGGAATCGATCAAAGATGATAACCAGAGAAAGCTCTCACCTGGTCTTCGACATTCGATGAATTGTGCTGCCACCTACTGTAACCACATGAAAGCTCTCAGAACCCAGCCTCACACGCGCATCTCCAGATGTCCCAGTTAGGGTTTCCCCCATACAGGCGTCGATGTGAACACGTGTGTCCCACGTCTTATTCATCCCGGTTCTTTCTCGGATGTTCACAACTCTCCAGAAAATGCAGTCATTATCGTCGATTTAGAACTTATTCCCGCGTATCGATAATCCGGACCTTTACTATCGATGGTCGGTTATTGCTGGCTCCCGGCAATATACAGTATTCTTCTCCCAAAAGTCGCAATGAAAGAGTCTCAGGCCTAACGTTATGTCAACGTCACGTAGGTATTTTAGGCCTAGTCGTCTTGTGATGTGACTCGGGTTCTTCTTCAGCTGACCGACTCACCCACGTAGGGCTGCTTATAGGGCAGTAGTGATTTGAAAATGGATTCCTACTACCTCTAACATAGTGCATGTTACATCCAATAGTGCTTGCGAGAACTTAGGAGTATATTTCCGATAAGAGAAGTGACACTGAACCCATGAGGCCCATGTTGAAGGTGATACGAATTCGCTTGTAAAACACAGTATATAGCAACAGTCATAGGCCTAGGCATAATGTTAGACCTGTACAGGCGTCAAAGTCAAAAGGGTTGAATTAAAACAATTATGGCTGAGTCCTGTAATGTTTGGGCTTCTTCATAGTCCCAGCCCAGGATTTACAGTTCTTTTTCACATGATATTGATAGGTCTCACTTGAATATGGGATGCCTAAAACAGGCTTAAGTTTTAAGAGGATACTATTGCCTTAGCTTAGTTTCAAATCCCCCCCAGTAAATTGCACCTTACTCAAACAGAAAGTGGCAAACCTAATTGATTAACACAGTTGGCTTAGGTCTCAATTGGCCTAGACCTAAACTTAGAACTAAGGCCTTTGATCAACCTCTGTGTAAAAAATACTTATGAAATCTTAAAGTAAGGTTTTAGACCAGAGCCTAACATCAGCATTAGGCCTAAGCTAGATGTATCCAGTAAATGTTAGGCCTAGGAGTACTGCATGTCCTTGAAATAACACTGCATGCCAAAACTTAAGGATCTTGGCATCAACTCATTCATGTATCTTGGATTTGAAGGAAAATATGGCTATTGTTCATTGATATAGGCAACCAAGGCTTTGATATTTAAAACTGAAAAAATTAGGAAATTAGAGTATTGCATGGTAAGACTATACTGCCTCTCAACTAAATTTTTTTTTAATAATGCCAGGTGTTGAAGTTGAACTATTGAGGCAGCATGCAAATGTACCAGTTATCTTTGAGTCACCATAATGCACAGTTAGCTTTAGTTAACAATTTCATTGCAAAGCTACTATATCAATTTCTATGCAGAAGATCTGGATTATACTTATTTCATAATTTCTTGAGTTCAGAGATATTCTCTGAATCCTGAAATACAGAAAGGTATTAATATTAATTAAGGCATGAATGGAGAGGACAATGTATCTTCCTATCCAGATAAAGACATCCTATGTTTGTGACCTTGTGCAAGTATGGAATCTTCACTATTAAATTAGAAAAATAGAGGGTGAACATGCTTCCCAGATTGGGTTTGGTGTAGCATAGCTCTGAATGCCTAATGTTCATGCAAGCAATTGCTGTATTCTGAGATCTTCTCTGATTTCTTTTGGGGATTTGATCCTACATGATTCTTGCTCTACTTTGTGCTAAAAGGTTATTGGTTTCTAGATTTCTGCAGATTCATGTTTGAAACATCTGACAATGAATTTAACTGGAGTCAGTCTGCTCCAATTATCATAAAAGAGGACGGCAATGTTAATAGTCTTTGGTTTCTGCCAGCCATCTAATTATCTGATTGGAAAGAAAGTTCTCGGAATTTCTTGAATATCGAGTACAATTTTTTTCCAGAGCATGCTAGAATGTTCTGCATGTGTTTATAAGTAGGTCGTGTCCTTCGGCATACAATATTATTACAGCCCTGGTGCTCTCCAGCCATGAACCAGCCCTACCCTCTTACTAAGGAGCAGGTTCGCCTGCTTCTTCTTTATGACTTCCGAATCAAGAAGAAGGCAGCCAATTCCATCGCTGACATCAATACCGCGTTTGGCCCGGACACTGTGTCCAAGAGCACTGCCTATGATTGGTACAGTCGCTTCCAGAAAGGAAATGAAAGCCTGGAAGACCAGCCACGCACCGGTCGTCCTTCGGAGTTTGATAACTCTGCCTTGCAGGAGGCACTGGAGGCCAACAACCGGNGAGATGATTTTGCTTTTAAATAAACTGGGTTGTAATAATTGTTCATGAAATTCCGAGACCTTTCTTTCCAATCAGATAACTGACATGTGAAAAGTATTTCATAACAGTAGAAAAAAAGGAGTCATGGCACTGTCTGGTTGACTTTTTTTTCTCAACTTTATGCCAGTTTATTATAAATTGGATTAGGTGTTGGCATTAGCAATATTTTTGTGCCCAATCATAGTTCTAGAGTTGGTAGCTTGTCTAATATTTTGATCGATCATTCATCTTTGCAGATGAAGAAGAAGAAAAATAGCAAAGATGATGGGAGAGGCAGTATTCCATCAAAAAGACTCAAAATGGATCCTGATGACTTTATTAATTGTGCTCAGAAATTCCTCTTAGGGGAAGTTTCTAGGGATCAGCTCTTTGAAACTTTTAAGCTCAAGGACATCTTTAGTTTTTTGTTTTCAGGAGAACATTCTGCACAATGGTAGGAAAAGTTCAGAATTTTAAAAATACTCTGAAATGTCCGAGAGGCTTGGATACAAAATACAGGAGCTTCTTGTTTCATGAAAATGTTGCTTTTCAGGATGGCCTGCCAGTGCCTAGAGCACTTACTATCCCTAACCCCAAAGGAGAAGGAAAGTCTCCAATCTAAAGTTCTGCCCGATGAAAGCATTCGGAAAGAGATATTGCTGAAAACCCTCCATTCAAGTCCATCTGGTTTTCAGAAAGGTGACACTCTGGTGGAATCTGTTGTTGTTGAAGGAATCTCCATCCATCAGCATTTTAAGAAGGATGTTAGTAAAGTGGCTATATCTTCATCAATCATGATTTAAGATGTGTATTGATTTGTGCCTATTTTTTGCTGATTTTAATTCTTTTAGGAAAGAAAATTGGAATTGCTGGGAATGGTGTTGGTGCCTTCCTGCCAGAAGGCTCTTCAAGGTTTGGCCTTGTCTGTGGCATCATCTTCTCCTGCACTTCTTAGTGGTCCTGTTGGATGTGGGAAGACCAGTCTCCTTCAATATCTTGCTGCTTGTGCTGGTATGATCATCAAGATTTATGTATCTTTAAAATAATAAAAAAGACATAGCAGAGAAGGCCAAGTATAGATAGTGCATTCATTACCTCAGTTCCTAAACTGCAAGTCTTTCTGACCCCAGTCACCCCCGTCTCACTCAATCACTGTGTCTTGTCTCATTCCTCTTCTCAGGAGTGGATATTCCACAGTTTAGCATATTTGGGAAAGTTATATTAATATTTTTCATTTTGGACAGTTATGATGCTGTTATGACTAATAGTTATTAGGTTGGAGTTTAAATTTGTGGTTTTGATTGCATCTTCATAAACAAAACTATTGATTCAAGCTCTGGGGAGTGGTACAAGGAAATAGAATGTCTGTCTTGCCTTAGAAAGGGAGAAGGGAGTGCCTGGAATTGAGAATGAAATGAGCAATCAATACAAGCTATGGCCATTTGTTTTTGTGGTCATTTAGAAGCACATTTACTTTTAAAAGTATGCAAAACAGTTGAATCATTTGGTTTCTCCTGTCTTGACTGAGTACTAATAGTTTGCTTTGATACATATTCCTTCTATCAGCTGTTCACTTGTTGCTTCATTGCTGATCTCATGAATGCCTAAAACCCTGCACTAAAAGTACACATGTGAGTGCAAGTGAGTGAGTGCACATCAGACCTTTGCATAGCCATTGCCCAAGAAGACTGCTTTGTTGATTCAGTTTAGGTTAATGAGGCATAATGTGATGTCCATAAGCTCCAAGTTTGATGATGAGCTGATCCCTCTCATGGTTGCTGCTTTTAAGGGAAATGGCTGGGAACATCTTTGTCTTTTGCCTTAAATAAACATCTACCATAATATGGCAGTCCCCTGAGAACTGACCAAGTAGAACAATTTTACTGTGTCATTTCATATCCACATTACCATTGAATGAAAGCATAAACTTTTTATTGCTTCTCATGTCATAATAAGCAAGAGGTGAAAGTTTGTGCTTACTTTGTGAAAGGATGAATTTTAGAGCTTATAGGCTACTTGTGCCAGATGATTCTACTGGGTGGGGAAGAGTTACCTGATGTTCCAGAGATGGTATGATGATGCATTAACCCTTTGCAGCAATTTTTTTTTAGTATGCTATGACCAATGGCCCACCAAGTGGGACAAAGGATCGCAAAAGGTTAACCCTTTCACGATCCAGCTTTTCTGAAACCTCCCTGGAGGACTACTTATATTTCAGTGTGTAACTGTGAAAGGGTTAATGGACTTTAAGCCTTGTGTGCTCCATTTTTTCATTGTATTGTATGGTTTTTTGCTCTTCAAGCAGATTTCCTACATTTGATCATGCAAAGTCTCTAACATGAAGAAGGACTTAAGTCTTTTCCCTATCAGCAAACTTGCCTCTGGGATGCTTAGATAGCAAAATATGGCTGTTTTTTTTTGTTGCTGAAAAGCCCCAAATTGGCAAGGGAGCACAAAATCAAAATCTTGTTAGAGTTAGTTCAGCCAAAAGTCTTTTCAAGTCAACCCTTACATTCCAGAATCATATTTTAGACATAGGAAGAGTATTCTGTATTGTTTTGTGGACACAACAAGGCTTAGAAATAAACCTGGTTTTTAAAAAGACTGTCCTAAATTTTAATTTATATAAATGTAAATTATATTTAAAATGAATGAATAAGTAAATTAAATTAAATCATGCATCTTCATTAGTTCTGTTTTATAAGTCCTTATTTCCCTTTGCATGTTTATAACAATTTCTATGTGCTTTCCATGATAAATCATGCAATATCTTGACAAAATGGATAGGAGAAGGATATGCATCTAATATTGTTATTTTTTTGAATTTTTTCTCTTGAATTTTTTATGCTCTCAAAGTTCCCTTTCTTTGATCTGTTCTAGATGTGCACAGAGATGCAGCTGACACATTATAAGCATATCATTAGATGGCTTGCATCACTGTGATGGAGCTGATAGTCATCATTCAAGAAAATGTGGGGCTATAAAAATGATTTAAATCATGGTTTAAATGATACCTTTGGTGATGGAAAAGTTTATGCTGGCTATTAACACATTGGTGACGGGCCCCAAGAAATCTCGTAGTACGCTTGCGAGCGTACTATGAGATTTCTCGGGGCCTGTCACCAATGTGTTAATGGTACATAAGAACCATAATGGTTTATGGATATCCTGGTGCCTGTGCATCTGTTGTCAATCTGTGATAATTTTGATCACCCTTTCTGATCAATTTCAAGCAGAAGGATGCTTTTTTTTTCTTTTCAGGCATGGAAGTGCTTAGTGTGCAATTGAGTGAAGAAACAGATTCCAAGTTGCTCCTGGGCACCTATCAGGCCACAAATGTTCCTGGGAAGTTTGTCTGGACAATGGGGATTCTCACAAAGGTGAGTGAAGCTTCCTGTTCAATACTAAGTCTTGTCCATGTGCAACTTCAAAGGCATATCTTGTTGTAATCAGGCAGTGGTGGAAGGAAGGTGGTTGATCCTGGAAGATGTGGACCGGGCTTCATCTGATGTCCATGCCACACTGCGTAAACTCCTTGAATCGCGCACCCTTACTCTCCCTGGCATAGGAGACTCCATTCTGGCCTCACCTAGATTTAGGCTCTTTGCAACTCAAAGGTAGGAAGTCCAAGATTTCCTCCTCTCTGATAGTAACTCTGGGAAAAGGGTTTCCATTCCTCATAACTGTCCACTCTTTGTTTCTCTTGTGCAGGGGAGGCAGTCTGTCCATGCAGACTCTGAGTCCTTCTTGGATGACTATTCAGCAATTGTGGAACAAAGTCAGCTTGGAAGTAGCCTCCAGGGATGAACTGGGAGTTATTGTTGCTAAGAGAGTGAGTTTTTGATTTTATGCTTTGCAGTATCTTTACAATCCTTTGCTTTTTTTCACCTTTACTAGAACTGATATAAGAAGTAATGTGACCTATTCAGATCTAGTTCATTCTGAAGTTATTATGTTTTCAGGTTGTGGCAATTTGGCTCTGACGTTAAATAGGCACAATATTTTTACCTGCCATATACCGTTTGTGTAGTTGCAGGGTAGTTACAAATCCATAATTGCTTCACTAATTTCCCATTATGAACAGAAAGAGGTGAAAAATAGTATGGAGTCGCAACACATATGGAGTTGAAGCAGCACTTGTTTATGTCTTTCAGTGGCCGGTGCTTGGGTTGATCATTGAGAAGATCTTGGATGTGTTTGAATTGGTCAGCAAAGAGAATCCCCTCAAGTGGCGACCTGTATCACTTCGGTAAGGTTCTTGAAACCAGGCCCTGTCTATTTAGGAATGGTTTATGGTGGTAATGAAGATGTGAAGTGAAACTCTTTCAGTCCCCAGTTTCTTGAATTTCCAAATTGGGTATCCTCTGTGTTTCATACATGATTATGAGATTCTCTTGTGGATCCTGTGGCTATTACACAACTCAAACTAAGAAAAATAGAAGCATGAAAAACAAATAAAGCCTGAAAGAATAAATTTTCATTTCTCTTTGGGAAAATTTAAATATACAACCAGCCTAATTGATGGAAATCTCTGTCATTCCACCCTTTTTTTTCATCTTGTCTGTATGGAAGTATGTACCTCTCTGAATCAGTTTTTCTGTATTGCTAAGTGAAAAGAATGATCTGCTGTAACAAATGGTATGCAATATGGGCCTTTTGCCACATTTTTTCCAAAATTATTCATCTACCCAATAGTAGTTCTTGATAAAAATTGAATATATTTGCCCTTTCAGTGATCTCACAAAGTGGTGTGACCGTGTGGCACGAGACTTTGACCCAGCATCAACAGCTTGCAACCTGAAAGCATTCCAGGACTCTCTTCAATGCTTCTGCTTCTCCATTCCAGATATTGGTGAGATGTAGACATTGATTGTGATTCCTTGGAGATCACAATGAAAAATGATACTTGCTTACTGTTGTGTTGAAGGGAGGGGGAAATATTTATACAGCTAGGCAAAATTACCATTTATCGTATGTAGTAAATGGTCCTTTATTTAGCTTTCATCTTCCACTCTTTATGCTTTCGAGTGTCCAATTTTTTATAATTATCTGTTGGTCCTTCAAGACAAAAGAGTGGAGATGGCAGAGCAGGTGGGATCCTTCTTCAACATTCTGAAGGAAATGGCCAATTTCTACTGTTTGAAGCACAAGCCTGATGTCCATTGGACCAGAGAAAGGCTTTGCATTGGTCGGGCCATCCTTCCCATTTCAAAAGACTTGGGATCCCAAGCTAGGTGAGGTGGAAGATGTTAAGTAATTGAGAAGAGAACATGCCAGCCAACGTTTTTTAAAACATGACTGTGCTTCCTGGTATACCCTTCCATGCAACAACCTGTTGTATAGTTTTGATTAATGCTGGCAGGTTGAAACTCAGTACATTTTTAAAAAATGCCTGCTTCAGGTTTCCCTTGACCAAATTGTTTTCAGAATATTTTTTTTATTTAAGACTACTTGAGGTGGTTTCTGCTTTGATGTGTGCTACCATTGAAAATCTTCATTACCAGAACCTATTGTATGTAGAACTTCCTCACAGATGATAATGCTTCTCTGTAGATCATGGAAGTTCTCAATGACACAGAAGGCTGCTCTCCTTCTTGAGAGTCTTGGAGTGGTGGTGCTGGAGGTGGAACCAGTGTTGTTAGTTGGAGAGACTGGAGTGGGGAAGACAGCTGCTATACAGTTTCTTGCCCACCAGCTAGGCCATCCTCTCCATATCATCAATATGAATCAGCAGAGCGATGTTGCTGATCTTCTTGGAGGGTCTGAAATTTTAATCCTGTCTTAGATGGAATGCTACTTTTCCAACAAAAATAGATTGTTTTAGAAAATTGTTGAAATACCATAGAAGTATTTTGATTGATGCTATTCTATGGATTGTATATGATCACTCCACAACCTGTAAACCCTGGAACTGCCAACTGTTGATAACATCAACAGTTGGCAGTTCTAGGGTTAACTTTGGCTGGAGCAGACATTGAGACAAAAACATGACTTTAAAATATTTGCAATTGTATTTATTTGCAGCAGTTGAATCCTGTTGAATCCTGTACCAAATGAGAATAATCTCATTTGGTAGAGAGAAAGGCAGCTGATATGGAAATTCTCAATGCATAGCCTTCTATTTCACGTATGCATGTGCATTACTAAATCCACTCAGGTTTCCTACAGCCATATAGCTAATTCACAGAGTTTATTGGGTTCTGGATCTTAAAACCCTGATCTCTCTGAATCATATAATTATGCAATTGCAAATTCATCTCCCTCAAAATGAATATTGTGTAAGCAGAAATATTTTTGAATAAGTTGTGTAACATCCATTCTGGTTATGTGGTTTGAATCTGGGCAATGAGTGAGTTCAATGTTGTGACAGGTACAAGCCAGTGGAGGTGCGGCACATCATTCGGCCACTAAAGGAAGACTTTGAACGGCTCTTTGCAGCTACATTCTCTCTGGCTCAAAATGAAAAGTTCCTCTCTCATGTTGCAGTATGTCTCTCTCTCTCTTTCTTGATTTCAAAATCCTTTGGTGTTTTCTATGTTTTGCTGGATGCAGCTTCATCCTTCTCAGAGATTCCTCCTTAGAATCAGGCTGTTTGTATTCTGATAAAGGCAGTAAGGATGTAACTTCAGGTTCATCCCTCCATTCACAAAGTGCTTTCATTCAGATTCTTTTGGTATTAATATCTTGTGCTATTAAGTGATTTAGCTATTCTAGTATCAGTTTTACTTATTGTTCACCTTTTATCCTCATTAGTACCTGACAAATTCACTTTTGGAGATTCAGTTTTTGGCTATTTTATTACTTTTAATAAGGAATTTTTCTATTCATGGGTTTTTATGATGAGCACTACCTGCACTAAGGATACTTGTTCTATTGATAGCTATTATAATTTTGGTTTGTGCTCTACCCCAGGCATCTTTCATGAATGGTCGCTGGAAGGACCTGCTGACCCTGATGGCCCACAGTCAGGTGGGTGCATTAACCAAGTTAACAGGCAGCAAGAATGAACACCTGTCAAGGGAATGGCGAGAGCTGGGAGCTCAAATCCAGGAAGTGAGGGAGCAGCTCTCTCATCTTGGTTCCTCCTTGGCTTTCTCTTTTGTTGAGGGAAGTCTTGTACGTGCACTCAAGCAAGGTGAGTGAACATTTTTCACAATTAATTTTCCTTGCTGACCCAAAAATTTATTTGTTTTTCTAGTATTTGTTTCTTAACTCACAGAATGAAAATGTTAGAAGCAAAAAAGCTACTGGCTTTTGAAAATCTCAGTGTGCTGAATCATGTGAATTTCCTCTACCCCTGTATTATTATGCTTTTATTCTGCTCTGTGTTAATCCTTTTCTTGAATTATGGGTTTCTCTCTGAATACACTCTTTTCTACTTTTACTATGCAATGTATTCTAATACATTGCAACTCAAATCCAGGGCTCATTTGCATATAACCTTTGTTGATGTTATTATGGACACTTAACCCTTATATTGCCAGAGCTGATTAGAGCGATGCTACGAATTTCATTGAAAAAGGCCAGTGTTGAAGAGTTGACGATTAAATGGTTAAGAAATGTTTCTAATCTCAGCATTCGATCATGTTCCATCTCAAACTTTGGCCATTTTAGTGCCAGCTCTTTGACTCTGGCATTTTGTAGCATCTCTGTAAGCAACTCTGGCACTATAAAGGTTATGGGAAGTTAGGATGGGTTATGAGTATTCTGTCAACTGCATTAATCATGAAATAGAATCCCATCATAGTGAAAGATTAGTTGGAAATGTGTCAATGTGATCTGTTGCCCCCCCCCCCCCTCCCAATCATTGAGTTCCTATTATAGCTCGAAAAATTAAGTATAAATTCAGGTTTTATCGTAACTTGCAGAAATACAAGGTAATTTCTCATTATTAGTTGAGATATTACTTGACTTTACCCATAAGTGGAGGCGGAATCCATAGAATCAGTTGAGTTAAATTATTTGTATTTGGCCTAGGGGAATGGATTCTCCTGGACGAATTAAATTTGGCCACTCCTGAGACCCTGGACTGCCTGAGTGGAATACTGGAAGCAGGGCCAAATGGCTCAACCATCCTATTGGAAAAAGGGGATACTGAACCCCTCAAGAAACATCCAAATTTCAGGCTCTTTGCCTGCATGAATCCTGCAACTGATGTTGGAAAAAAAGAGCTCCCTTTGGGCATCCGGAACAGGTAGGTCACTGTTCATATTCTTTCTTCATTGAATATGACCTTTTAATTCTGAGTGTTGCCCTGGCATGTAGGTTCACAGAAATATTTGTCGATGAGCTGGTTGACCCAGTTGATTTGAAGCTTCTGGTTGGAGACTACCTTCGCAACTTGGGCCTAACAATGCAACAAATCGAAGGTGTTGTCTCATTCTACCTCAGCATAAGACAAGAGGTGGCACAGCGCCTTGTGGATGGCACTGGTCACCGTCCACATTACAGGTAGGACCTGACCCTTTATTTTAGACTTACATCTTATTTGATCTGATCTGTTTACATGGGATGCTTTTCATGTATGCTTATTGTGTGCATTATCAAACTTATGCATGATTCTGTTACATAACTTTTTTCTGGATCAGTCTGCGAACGCTGTGCCGGTCATTGCGTGTTGCCCGCTCAAATCCTTGTGGGAGTGTGGCCCGATCCTTATTTGAAGCCTTCTGCTTGGGCTTCTTAACCCAACTGGATTCTCAGTCTCAAGTTTGTGTGGAGAACATGATAACAAAACACATTCTTGGGAAGAAGAATGTGAAGGGTACACTGGGAAAGGCGATCCCCCATCCATCAGACTCTACTTCCAAATACATCCAGGTTGAAGGTTACTGGATTCCGCAGGGAGCAACTGAATTGCTCTGTCCCAGAGATGTGAGATTCCTGAAACTTTTGAATGCCTGGGAGTTCTCATCAGGAAAGTCAGGTCTCAATTGTCCTCAACCCTGAATTTGTTTCCACAGTATATCCTGACAAAGACAGTGAGAGGAAACCTGAAACGGCTTGCCCGCATTGTATCACTTGGTCATCTCCCAGTCCTTCTGCAGGGAGAGACCTCTGTGGGGAAGACCAGTCTCATCTCATACCTTGCAAAAGTGAGTTTCTTGCTTCCATCTTTTGAATACCAGATAATATAATACAATAGAGTGCCAGGCAAAAGCAGCTCTAGGTCCATGATTGTGCTCTGACTCTGGAGCACCTGCTGATCAAACCCCCCCTATATCTGAACCTTCCCTCCCTGTAATGGATACCAACACAAGTAGGCCCGAATACACAAACCTCATTTAGGGAAGATATAGGGGTCTTTAAGCTAAGGAGCTCCTTTTCTCCCATAGGAGTTCATGTCTTCTTAAAAGACTGTTTGACTAAAAGAGGTTTCAGCATTTGGGCCTTAACCTTTAACTTTGAGAGACTATACAGCTTAAGCAGTTGCTCTGCAAATATACTGTCAAAGTTAGACCTTCACTGCAGGGATTTCTTAATTCCTTGCCCTCATTAGATGGTATATGCTGTCATTGCTTTTTCCTTTAATCCTTCAATTAAAAATTTCTTTAAAATTTTATAACTGTGATAGTGAAGTTCAGTTTGAATTAAGAGGCGAAGTTTGTGTGTTACCCTTGTATGGTTGCCTAGCAGCACTGGTTCAAATTAACACTAGTTAAAGTATGGAGGTCTTGAAAAACTACAAATATTCAGTGAAAAAATAGGATGCCAAGGGGTTAACCCTTTCATGCATGGTGTCCACTGTAGTGGACGGCAAAATTGTTGGTGATAATTATAAATTTTCAGCTATGGTACTCGTACCTCGAAACTTTTGGTGCGTGCATTCAACTCAAGGGCACATAATCTGTTCAGTGTCTCTTTCTAGTAGTAGAACATTTGACTACTATGGCAGAGTACCTCCTAAAACGTTAAACCATAAAGGGCATATTTTTATTTTGCTTTAAAAATTCATGCCTGAAAGGGTTAACTTCCCACATCTATCCAAGTAGCATGGGATCACCCCATGGATGTCCTTAACAGATCCTGATGTGATGATGATCCTATCCCACAATGAACATCCCATGGACATAGAGATTTTACATGTAGGACACCAGCATTCCTCACCTTCCAGGTTGTCCTCTTGACGTTCCATGGAAATCCACATCCACAGGGCATTTCATAGAAACATCCATGGGATGTCATCTGTCCTATATGGGATCCATATGGGATGTTATGGTTGCTCAGGGGTAGAGATAGGAGTGCTTTAGGCTCATGGGTTTCCCTTCCCAAGCATGTTGGAGCTTGCACTTGGAAATAAACATCTGGCTTGGTTGAGTTTGATCCCAGGTCCCCTGCCATGGGAGTCAAGTCACTAACATATTCTAGTTTGGCTTCCCTTCTCTGGAATTTATGTGTGATGTCTGGTTTTAGATCACAGGCAATGTGTGCATCCGGATCAACAACCATGAGCATACTGACATTCAGGAGTACATTGGGTCCTATGTCTCAGATGAAACTGGGAAGCTTGTCTTCTGTGATGGTAAGTTTTTCCTTAAACCTTTAACAATTCAGTAAGTAGTAGGGTATTTATAACAACATATTTCATGGTGAAGGTGCACTGGTGAAAGCACTCAGAAGAGGGGACTGGATCATCCTAGATGAATTGAATTTGGCTCCAACAGAAGTGCTCGAAGCACTTAATCGCCTTTTGGATGACAATCATGAACTGTTTGTCCCTGAAACCCAGGAGACTGTCAAGGCACATCCCAGATTTCTCCTCTTTGCCACCCAGAATCCACCTGGCCTTTATGGTGGTAGGAAGGTAATCATGCAATCATGGCATCCCTACCTCAGGTACCCTCTCTGATTGCTTCAGGCTGCTCTTTATTGTTGTATCTCAGGTTCTTTCCCGAGCATTTCGAAATCGCTTTATTGAGCTGCATTTTGGGGAGATTCCATCAACTGAATTGGAAGTGATTCTTCATCAGCGATGTAGTCTACCTCAATCTTACTGCAAGAAATTGATCAACATCATGCATGAACTTCAGGTGAGGATGAGAGTGTGAGTACAGGGTGTGAGTACAGGGTGAAAATTATGTTTTGTGGGAAGATTTTGTTATATCTAATTCTTCCTCTGGGAATTTCTCAAGGCTTGTACTTGTAAGTAAATTCATAATGGAGGAAATTTGAAATCCATAAAAATCCTTCATGAACTTCAAGTAGTTTTTCCTGGTTTGAGCTCCATCATACATCAAAGCCTTAATTTATTGTTTTAACCTAAATATCTTGACTTGGATGAGAATATGAGATAGGATAACTGTAGAAATTGTCTTGTGGTTGAAACCATGGTTATGAAAAATGATAGAGATGCACTTTTTAAATTTCATTTGTATATTAAGCATATTTCCCATCTAGGCTTCTGATTTGTTTATTAGATAAGCCAGGGTGGCTGCAGTTATTCAGAGTTTTGATGCAGCTTTGGAAGCCATTGCAGAAAGCTTTCTGGTATTCTGACACCTTCTTGCATTTTCTCAGTGTAGAATGTTAGACTTCTAAATAAGGTCCAATTTTGAAATAATTCCCCATGCAGTCTGTATGTCAATGTCAGATGCAACAGATTTTTGCTGCAATGACTTTTGTGTCCCCAGCAAAATATGTGTTGAAAAAATGCTTAAAAATGCCATAGAGAATGAACTCCTTGCATTAAACCTTTGATGGTTATGGATACATTTTGTAGTACTTTCCCTGCTCTGTTCCTTAAGTTTAAATTATAACAGGAACTCCTTGAAGTACAGATGCTAGTTTATCAGGTTATTCAGTTTCTGCTCTTGAGGTTATGCTGAGTGCACCCTATTAAGGGGTCTCTAAGGTAAATAGGGAAAGGGAATTGCTTGGAATGAGTTTCCGGTGTACAAAGTACTTTGTACTAACCCAGGCATTCAATTATGGGTTTCATTGGAAGAAAAGAGGTTTTCTTCTTGAAAATAATTTTTTGGGACACCCTGAGATCTTGTCCCAACTCATCATAGTGCTGACTCAGTTTGCTAATATTGTTTGCTACAGCTGGTGAGGAGGGGATCTGGTGTGTTCTGTGGGAAGGCAGGCTTCATGACTCTAAGAGACCTATTCCGCTGGGCTGAGCGTTACCGCCTGGCCGATGACCCTGGGTCCACATTCTTTGACTGGGACCAGCTTCTTGCAGATGAAGGTATTGTGCATTGAAAATTTAGCCAGAGAAGCACAACAAGAGCTATTAGAAAGTGGAAAGCATGGAATTTCCCAAAAGTAGATAAGTAGTTTTTATTAGATGCAACTGGAGATTTGCAAAATGAATGCCTTTTCTGTTTCTTCTCTGTTCCAGGTTACTTGCTGCTTGCAGGGCGGATGCGTCGTGCTGAGGAGGCTGAAACCATTGCCCAGGTCCTTCAGAAGCACTTCAAGAGGACAGTAGATCCAAGCCGACTTTTCTCTTGTGAGTCTCCAGCTTGCATTGATGCAATTTATTCTGTTCTACTACTACTATAACTACTCTTCATTGTGGAAATATTAGTATCAGATTTGAAATCTATGGAAATGGAAATTTAGAAATGTGGAATTCAAGGAACATTAGGATTCCACAGTAAATTCAGGATTCAGGATAGTTAGTGATATCAAGAGGCGATTTCGCCCATATCGATATCACGTGTCGAGGTCGAGCGTTCCTTAATTTTAGGGTAGGCCTAACCCTCTTAAAGCTAAATATTTATGTATTTTTGTTTGTTTGTTTGTTTTTTTTTTT